ACTGACTGACTGACTGACTGACTGACGTACACACTGACTGACTTAATGTTATCATTTTTTGTTACATATGGATACAAGTCGCAAAGTTCAATACAAATCTTTACATTTTGTCATTAAGTGCATGCACACTGTGATCTGGGATATCTGTCGTTTATTAGTACATTCATTTGTTGTTTCTTGACAGCCCTATCTGTGGTGTGCACTTACGAGTATATGATGGTTTACCTGGAGCACACTAAGCATCCCAACCTGGACATGGATAGTATCACCCTGAAAGACGTCAACTGCAAATTAGCTGACCTGGGAGACTTCAACGGAACTCACTTGAGGATGGAAGTGCCACTGGACGGCTGTATGACCAACCATACCACTGCAGAAGATACCATCACTTACGCCAACAGCATAATAGCTGAGACTCGAGCTAGTCAAGGCAGCATCTTGATCTCCAGAGAGTTCCAGGCGGAGTTTCCATTCAAGTGTACTTATCCACGGTCTGCCATTTTGTCGGTCGCGAGTTTTTCTCCGCGGGAAAAAGTCATCTACACCAGAACAGGTAACGAGCGGAGTCCGGGCCCAATCCCCAATTCCCTCTGTGAGAGGCGCCTGCAGGGGATCATGGTAGTTGTATTCATCATCTTGGACTGGATATTTGTTTTGATGAATACAGCTACCATGATTCCCTGCAGGCGTCTCATAGGAAGAATCGGCCATTTGTGCCGTTTAAATGTTTTTGCCCTTTTGGGCCTGCGCATTGACCCTGAAAGTAAAACGACCACTGTTAAGACAGTGGAAAGTCATGTTTATTTGGAAAGTTTAAATCATAGGCTGAAAATAATTGAGCTGTGTTTTGCCAGTCATACGAGCACGATCGTATGACTGTCACGCTGGCTCAGTTATCATGGGTAAGGGCTGGGAAAGAGCATAAATAGTAACGGCTTACTATTGAGAAAATCTGGCATAATGACTGGAGTAGGCTCTGTTTGAGAGATCTTATCTTCAAACCAGTGCTAAAAAAGCAATGAATGAAATATGTTTTATTTGACCTTTGCAGCCGAGTTTGGTAACTTTACCTTCATGATGGAAATGTACCCCACGGCCGAATATGACACTCCATACGACACCTACCCCGTACAAAAGGACCTGAATGAAAAAATGTACCTGGAAGTAAAGGTACTGTCCAATGACTCCAAGTTGGTTTTGTTTCCCGATAAATGTTGGGCCACGCCCAGTTCAGACCCGGAAGACGACAAATCGTTTGCTTTCATCGAGGACGGGTAAGGAATTGGTTAGACTTTCAGAAAGTCCTTCATCTTGTATACTCATGAACTCATCATGACTCGCTGGACCTCTCGCAACTTCGTCGGCCGCTTAGCGACTTGCGGCCTAAAACCTGGCACCTCTCGCTCCGCTCGCCTAGCTATTCTACCCAGAAACTCACGAGGTCGACTTGTGGGAAGTCTAAGCATTGGTAAACCTCGACTGTACCTTACCACACATTAATCTTAGACTACTACACTGGATTGACAACTCTGATAAAAATAGGAAAAAAGAAGGCAAATAATAGCGCAAAGCAATGAAGTCTGCATTTGACAATGGAGCTAGCCATGGGCAACCTGCGGCGGACAAGCATTCCATTTAGGGGGGTGGGGGAGAGATGATTGCTCCTTTGTGGCGTCATGTTGCCTTAACAAGGGTTATGCCCCAAACTCTATTGAACCATTGATTTCAAATGACTCAAATGCAGACCGAATATATTTTCTCAAGTCTCCATCGGTTCTCCGTTGCGACTTACACTGTCTTATGTTGTTGCTCTGTATTCTACTCTCAAATTTTTCTTTTCTGTCTCTTATTCACAGGTGCAACGAAGATGCGACATTGGTGTATGACTACGAAGAGAGTGCTGTGCAGCAGTTCAGCTTAGACGCATTCCGGTTCATGGGTGTAAGTGCGGATGCTGTGGTGTACCTCCACTGCGCAGTGGAAGCCTGCCGCAAGGGAGATAACTCCTCCCGCTGTGCTCAGGGCTGCGAAGAAGACAACGGTTCCAAGAGGAGGAGACGTAGCCTAGTACTGGATAGTATCGGACAGGAGACCGTTACTGTTGGACCAGTGTATAAAAAAGTTGATGATGAACCAGCACAAGAGGGTGAGAGTCAGTGAGCCGGAGCGTTCGCGTGCGTGACTAAGCAAGAG